AAGCCAAGTCACCCGGGGATCGTCCTTGGCCAGACCCTGCCCTCCTGAGCACTTCCACCTGTCCTCTGCGGCAGGAGGAGCTACACCCAACAGGAGATAGGCCGTGGGGTCCTGGCTGTCCCAGCCGCAAGATCTGACAGGCACACTCAGAAGAGAAGTGGGCGGGAGTGAGGGGGACCCACACCACTGCCCCAGTCCACAAGAGTCTCCTGAGAAGCTGCCTCTTCCCCACCCAGCTCCACAATGGGGCAAACAGGGCGCCGGCCTTTTGCACCTGCCCACAGCAGGGGTCGCTCTCAGCCCCACCCAGCTCCTCCCCTGCTGCTGTGACAGGCATTTAAGCAGAGGAGTCAACCACGGCCCCTGGGGCTCCGAGAGGACGCCACCTCACTCCCAAGATGCCCAGCTGCACTGAACACAGGCACCGAGGCCGAGGGGAGAGTCAGGCCACAAGCCGTGCCCACAAACCTCTTCATCACCAGGCTCCACGGACTGGCAGAGCCAGGGGGTGTCTGCCAGCTTCTTGAGCTGTCGGTCCATCTCGGAGAGAGCAGTGCTGAGCCGCTCCTTCTGAGGGGGGTCCAACTGCTGCTTGCGCAGGGTGAGAGAGAGAGGGGCTGTGGTCAGGCGAGGTCACCCCCAGGCTGGCCCCGGGGAGAGCCCCGCTGAGAGCTCAGATGAAAGCTCTCGAGAGTTAAGTCACAGAGCACTGGGGAAGGGCCGCGCCCTAGGCCTCCCCTCTCTCCTCTGTGATTGGGGCAGGGCTGACACCTGACTGTGGGACTGCTGCAGGCCCCCTGGGCTCCCTGGCAGACAATGGAGAGGCCATGCCTGCCCGCTGCGGGTGCAGAGAATGCCAGGAGGCAGCAAGGCCGGTGTGACTGCGGGCAATGCGCTGCGGGTATCAAAGCAGAGAGTGGAAACTAGGTGAGGGCCGGGCAGGATCGCCCTTCCCATCCAGGCTGCCTGGCCACCTCTCAAGTCTCTCCCTCGGCCTCTCCCACCTCACGGCTACCCCAGGGCCCAGTGTGGAAGGCTCCGGGCTCCTGTCTAGGTGACAAGGGCGTTCCTGCTGCAGATTTCTAACAAGCTGGAGATAGCCGGTGGAGATGCTGCCAGGGCAGTGTGGATACAGCACCCCCAGCAACCTGGGCCTGGCTCAGCACAGGGACCTGGACTAAACCGTGCAGCCCCCAGAGCCCTGCTGTCCAGGCGCCCACTCACCAGCGCCATCTTCCCAGCCAGCAGCAGCTCGGTCTCGCTGCGCAGGGCCCGGATGTTGTGCACCATCTCCAGGACAAAGCTACAGCTCAGGCCCTAGGAGGAACGACACACACGTCCATGTGGAAGGCCCAGGGCCGGGAGGGCAGGGGCAGCTGGACAGACAGGGTCGGATACCTCCACAGTTCTGGGCTTGCCGTACACGCGGTCCATGGACTTGGTGCTGGCGTTGACGGCATGTGCGAGCTCCTGCTCCACGTCGCGATGGGACTGCGCTATTTCCCGGATGCTGGAGAGAAACACAGGCACATGGGGCCACACGGAAGGGCAGCTCTTCACGACACTCACAGCCCAGGGCCTCCAGAGAGCTAACGCGGGGGTGGGGGGG